TGGGCGTACGTGGACTTTAATGAAACCATAGTTTAGGGGTTTTGCACCCTATATAAGCATCATTATTCATTATAGTTGGCCTTCTTACCAGCCCTTAAAGCCCCAAAACCCTATAAACGAGTCGTAGCCTCCATTGTTGGGTGTTTGAGCCCTTACAGAGAATTTGTTGTTCATTTTGTGCATTTTGAAGGAGTTAAAGAAGCTTGAAGTTACTTAGCTTGGAGAGAAGGTCTTGGATCCAGAATCACCACCCTTTTTGCAAAGCTTTTGAGGTATCAAGTTTTCATCTTGACTTCTAGCTGTTTAGATCTCTTTTTGGGATGATTTGTCATGCTTTTGGCCATTGTTGGGTGGATTGTTGAGTTAAGTCATCCCAAGAACTTATCCTTTCATATCTAGGTTTTTCATGGGCCCCTTATGCTTAAAGGTGCCAACGTTATGGAGCTTAGGGCCTCATGCATGCATTAAATTACTTATTAAGTCCTTGTTGAGCTTAAGAGCTTCATTAAACCATGCATGAACGTAAAGTTAGAAACTTTACGTGGTAATCTAGCTTAAGGAAGTCAGATCTACATTAATGGGTTAAGAGCTGAAACTAAAAGGTGGCAAAACTGGAAGAGTATGCTGGGCGTACAAGCCTGTACGCGTAGCGTATAAGCCCTTGAGCCAGTACGCTTATCGTACATGTTAAGTAAGCCCTGCGTACTCAGCCATGTGGCTTTGCGAATTTGGGCTGTAACTTTGGGCCATGTTTTGGGCTTAGAAGGATGGGGTTTAGTTGGGCCATCTGAATTTGGGAGTTTTGGGCCTTGGTGGATTATTTGACTTTTGGTCCTTCTAGATTGTAAGATTAGGCCTTAGTCTTGTTGTAATTAATAATTTATTTAAAATAATTAATTAATAATTTTGAGCTTCTACTATAAAAGTTTAATTAGTTTTATAACCATGATTTCCATGGGTTAGAAACTAGTAGTTGATAAATACGCTATCTTTCACATTATAAAAATCGGATAAAATAAAATATTTCTAAAATATTCTTTTTAGCATTAATAAGTATAATATAAATGGTCAGAAAGAATTTAGTTGTTGTATTATCTTTTACATTATATTTATCACTTTGTGTAAATATATAATGTTAAGGTTGGGGATGGCTTATATGATATCTTAACATATAACTACCCTTTTAATACCCCTTTAATGCTAAAAAGTATTATTTTGATTTTCTTTCTAATATTACGATTGGAAATACGAAATGGATTATGTTAATCTAAATCGAACAAATAAGACAACTATTTTTGGATGGTTTCTCTAAAAGACTAGAACTGAGTAGATCAGTACAAAAAGATTGATCCCAAAAAAGACATAATCGTTGTGAGACCAACACAAAAATAATCCGGTTTTAAAAAAGACCAGTAACTAAAATTTATAAACATATCATTTTTGTGTTAATTTATATAATTATTAATCACACGTCATCTAACTTTTTTTTCTTTTATCAAACTTAATATCATTTTAATAATTTACTTTACGGAAAAATTTGATATCAAAAATACTGAAACTGAACCCCAACAGAACCAAAAAAAAAATGTGCACGGGAAGCCTATAAGACTGGATCGAAAAAGTCCAATCCTAAACCGTTCGAGACAGAGACCGAATCGTTTTTAAGACAGAATCCAAAAGACTTAACCATTTCAAGACATTGGGCTTTAAAAAGCCCAATAAAACTGAATTTCTTTGAGACAATCACAAATGCAAAATGGAATCAAAAATCAAAATAAAGCTTTAAAATGTCCATTTCTGCGCTTATTCCGATCGTCTCATCGTCGGCGGTTCGTCGGCGATTGCCATTAGTGGGTGCCTTTTGTTTGCTCAGCTTAGGTCTCCACAATCTTCAGCCATCACTTTCTCTCTCTTACAATCCCCTATCACGGTACCCTTCTCTCCGCTCCTCCAATTCCTAGGGTTCTTCTTTGCCCTAATTCGCTTTTGTATAGTGACTTGAAAAAATTGCTAACATCTTCAATCGGTTTAGGTTGAGTTTCGGTAGCAAAACGCAGGGATTTCGTAGTAGCGGTATAAGAATGGAAGCATCAAATCAAACGACTGTGCCAAGTATCGTTGTGTACGTGACTGTACCAAACAAAGAGGCAGGTTCGTTGCAGATAATTCGATTCTCTTGTTATTGTTCACTGCGAATTTTGCATTTGGATGAAACTGATTGATTTAAGCTTTATAAATTTATGATGGATGCTATCGAGGTACTTTCTTAACATTACAAACTCTATACAAGGGTTTATTTATGCTGATTATAAAAATGTTTTCTTCCAATCATGGTATGGAGACAGTAACAATTTTTCAAGGCTTTTTTGTTTTGATTTTGGAAAGGAATCAAAGTTGCTTTAAAACGGATACAAACTCTTTTACAGTTGCATTGTTTCTTTGTTCCAAACTTCTGAATGCTGATTTTGTTATGCTTCGTGCGTTCCTTTTGTTTAGGTAAGAAATTAGCAGCAAGCATTGTCAAAGAAAAACTTGCAGCTTGTGTCAACAGGGTACCAGGTATTGTTGGATATAAATTTTTAGAATCTTTTCTGCTATTTTATGAATTTCAACTTCAACAAGTTCAAATATTTTATTGATATTTTGATTGCTTTAAATAGCATATATCATAAAAGTTTGACCTTTTGACCTTTTATTTTCAATCACAGGCATCGAGTCAGTATACCTGTGGGAAGGAGAGGTACGATTTCTATTTTGGCTTATGCCCTATTTTTTTTATGTCCCATTTAGTGTTGTTTGTTAATAATATATAAAATATTTGAGAAAATATAACGACTTATATTCACGATACATAAAAGTGAGTTGAATATTCTTGTGTTGAATTTTCAGATACAAACGGATTCAGAGGAACTGCTGATAATTAAAACTAGAGAATCACTTTTGAGTGCTCTAACTGAGCATGTGAAGGCAAATCATGAATACGAGTAAGTGATTTTTTTTTTATTTTTTTTTTTTCTATTAGGTGTGGTAAGGATGAATGATGTTTAAAGATTATTTGAGAAAAAATAAATAAATAAGGTTAAATATATATAAAAAGTTATTTGATGTTGAAACTTGAAACAGAGTGCCTGAAGTGATTGCAATGCCTATAACCGGAGGCAGTGTCCCCTACTTGGAATGGCTCAAAAACAGCACAAGGGAGTGAATGGTAGTTGTGATTTTCTTTATATTATTATATATTATATATCATATGGTGTGAGAATGATGTCTGTAAAAATGGTCTTACTATGAATATGGTTTTAACCCTAATTAATCTGGTAGGTAAGAAATAAGATGATTGGACTTGTTATTTACATGGTCTTCCATGCTATATATATATATATATATATATGGACATTGTGATATCGTATTACCAAATTTTATGTGGGTTGTGGATCCGGGCGGGTCAGCGGTCTGGATTTTGTGACCCGCATACAAAAAAAGGGAAGGGAGAATGTGATTGATGGTAAGCAAAGCTGGATATGGTTTACTTTAAAAAACGCCAGAGTTTATGAACATTGCTTGAAATTATTAAACAAAATAATAAAATCAATATTTGTAGTAAATTAAACGAATGGTCTTTGTGGTTTGAGGTAAGTTGCCTATTTAGTCTTTAAACTTTTTTTTTTCAACTTTTTAGTAAGTTATGTTTTTTTGTAGCATGGTTGGTTGTGTCTAACTTAAAAAAAATACTATTTTGCCCTTAATAATTCTTTTTTATCTATTATATTATTAATTTATTAACAAATTTGTTTAATAAAATACCTTACACTTACATCTAAATCAGTTGCAAAAGAATAATAAATATATAAATAAATAAATAAAAATATGTGAAGCAAATAACCTACTACAAATTAGATGATAAAAAAAAAGGTCTTTGATGCAGTACACCAGATGCAAGTGGATTCAACAAACCCAAGATGCAAGATCGATTCAACCAACCCTAAACCTTGAATAATAGGCGAATTAAACTAAAATTCCCGTATATATTCGACTTATATAATACCCATTAATTGTTTGATTTTTTGACGAGGAATTTCATTGTAGAATAAATTGCACCAATGGTTTTGTTGTTTGTTGGTTTGCTTTCCAATTTCAATTCTATCTTTATGTATAACACAACCCCCAAATCACAAAGCAATAACGATTGTTGTTAAATTGTACTTTTTTCAGAAAAAAATTTGCGATTTGGGGCAATGGGTTGATGAAACTTCTGGTTTTGGGGATATTTGCTGTTTGGTGGGTTTTTTCATATGTTGATCTAGAAAATCCAGACTTATAGGACCCAAAGATCAATCCTTGAGCTTCAATTTTTTACTTTTTTCAAACGAAGCTTCAAGGTGCCTACTTTTTGGGTTAGAGCATCAGTATATGGTTTCAAGATTAGTATATTTTCATCGTTTTTTGGGTATGTTTTTCTTGGTTTTGAATTTTCGATTCCCCACCAAAGATAGTTCATGGTTTCACTTGTATGTATAACTCAAACGAGATGGAGGTGACAATCTACATTCTTGCAATCTGGATTTATGATTTCCGAATGTGAAATAGCCCAAATTCTTGACACAACATTCAATCCTAAATGGAGGGTCTGTTCATCTTCATCTAGTATTATGGGTGGTTTTTTGAACTAGATTTGGTTTCGGGTTTGGTTAAGTGTTGGAAAGTTGAGGATGTTGGAAGGGGGTGTAGTGTTGGAAAGTTGAGGATCATCCAACCTTTTTTTAAAAAGAAAAATATCATTAACCCTAACTGACCCAAGCCCTGGATAGTGATTGTGATTTGTGAAAGATGTCTATCATTCCATCATCCATTCTTTCTAATTTGAAATCGGCGTAGAGCATGGCTAGAAAGAACTCCATTGTTAGATAAATCTTCTCTAATTTTACCTTCGAATCATCCTTAATATTATTTATTATTCCTTTCATAATTTTTAACACCATCTAAATGTTAAAAAAAAAGTGTTATATTTTGCGGGTTGGATTGAATTTACACAAGAAAGAGATTGAAAGTAGAATGCAATAATAGAAAGAAATGAAAGTATGATGCTATAGTACACAAATAAATACAAGTATGTCGTTATTTCTTGCATTTAGCAAACAATTTCAGCATATAAAACAGATAATGTTGACAGAATAAGTTAGCATCATAGAAATGAGTCAATGACATACAAGTTCCAGTCTTCAACAGCATAAGTATTTAGGGCTCATCCAAGTCCTGTAGTACACCCAACATAAAAGTGTCTCAAGTCATTACACTATAGTACATTATTTAAAATTATAATTGATCTATTTCTTTTATAAAAATAATATATTAAACATAACAAAAATTTATTGAAACCTGTGCATCTGAAGTCCAAAGAGTGAGATTGTCCCTCAATAGTTGCATAATCAGAGTGCTATCCTTGTACGAGTCTTCACCCAAAGTGTCCAGCTCAGCAATGGCTTCCTCAAATGCCTACCCATATGGGAAATATATATATATATATATATATATATATATATATATATATATATATATATATATATATATATGAAATTAGTGCAATGTAACCTCTTAAAGAATTACTATTTTTGACCTTTCCACTAACCATGGTATAACTTTTTCAAAAGCTTTTCTTAAAAATTAACTAATCTATTTTTATTTTTAACTTTCTCATATGTTATACAAATGAGTGAATTATTGAAATCGTCCCTATGGTTTGGTCAAAATTACATGTTTGGTCCCTAAATTTTTCGTTGCACTTGGATCGTTCTTTTGGTTTGATTTTGTTGCATTTTTCGTCCCTAACATATATAAAGTTAGGGACCAAACATGCAATTTTGACCAAACCATAGGGACGAAAAATGCAACAATATCAAAGTACAAGGAGGATCCGACTGCAAAAAAAAAAGTTAGGGACCAAAAGTGCAATTTTGATCAAACTATAGCGACGATTTCAGTAATTTACTCTATACAAATACCCCTCATGATTTTTCAATTTTTAAGTCTCATCGTATTTTTGAAACAGATTAACTAATAACAAAATAAGAAAAATTAATATCTAAATATAACTAGGGTGTAAACTCAAGTGTTATGTAATGTAAGGGCGGAAGGGCCAAAATGGAAAAAACCTATAAGAGTATTATTAAGAGGTTGGAGCACCCCTCAAAAAAAGCTACTTAAAAAGCTTTCCAAAAGCTTATTCAAACAGTAAAAAGCTTTACAAAAAGCTAACATGCTATTAGGGTGCTATAACCAACAAATAAATACAATTATCAATTATGTTGCTATTTCTTCTATTTAGCCCATTAATTTATGAATCCTCTGTAATTAGTTTTGAATTACCCCTGCAGAATCATCATCTGCAGGAATCATTGAATGTGAAATTGATGCAACAAGCAATAACAGACATTAAATCCTCACAATAGAATAGAAGAAAATCAAGAAAAGCAATTCAAATTGGTATCCAGTTTACCTGTTTTGCCATGCTACACGCCTTGTCAGATGAATTCAGAATCTCATAGTAGAACACCGAGTAATTAAGTGCCAGACCCAATCTTATTGGATGTGTTGGAGCCAAATCCACCAGTGCAATATCCTTCACCACACAACAATATGTTAACAAGATTATATAATCTACTGTTCTTCAAGTTCAATTAGAAGATTCGAACATATGTAAAGCAGAAAAGTGAATCTATATACAAAATTGAACAAAGTAGAAGATTGGTAAATCAAATTATAGAACAGATCTTGAGGATTGAAGAGAAAACCTACCTGAGCAGCTTTATAGGAGTTCATAGTAGCCTCTGCTGATGCCTTTCGCTCATCTCCAGCTTTAAATTCAGCCAAATAACGATGATAATCTCCTTTCATCTTCAAATAAAATACCTTCGATTCACCGGTAGATGCCGATGGCACCAGATGCGAATCCATGAGCTTCAATATTCCCGAGCACACATCCGATAGCTCATCCTCGACCTTAGATCTGTAGTCCTTGACAAGCATGACGTGGTCATCGTTTTTTCGGGACTCCTCCTTTTGTTCGATCGATGAGACGATTCGCCAAGCCGCTCGAAGAGAGCCGATAACGTTCTTGTAGGCGACTGATAAAAGGTTACGCTCCTCGACAGTCAGCTCAGCCGCCGGCGTCGTTGCAACGACGAGCTTTTCCATGGATTTCACCATCTCTTCGTACCTCTCGGCTTGCTCCGCAAGCTTCGCCATGTACACATACTGCTCTCTCGTTAAATTTTCCGGCATGGTGATGTTGGTTGTGAAAGAGAAAGAGAGGCGACTGAGAAAATACTGTGGGATTAGGTGTTTGGCGGTATGTATTGGATCGGGTCCCAGCAGTCGCTGTCAGACCGATTAAAAACAATCGACGCTGGAGAAGAAGACAGCGCGACTGCTAAATATTAGCCACACGCACTCTCAAAAGAAATCCCAAACCACCATGGCTACACAAACACAAACACAAACACAAACATTTGATAAAAACTCTTCCTCTAATTCATCCTTTATCATTGATTCCTAAGACAAGCGAAGCTTTGAATTTCATCAAATGGCTTCATCTGCTGCTGCGTTATCAGCAAACAGCTGTAGCACAAACATGAGGTTACGATTCTTTAACAACGATCCTTATAGGAAGCAACAGAAGCAGAATCTCAATTTTTTTAAAATTCGAGCTTCCTCCTCCGATGAGCAAGAAGACTGCAATGTTGAAGAATGCGCCCCGGACAAAGAGGTATTCTCTTATTGAATCTGTTTTGAGGTGGATTTTGTTTTAGAATTGTTTCATTTCATAGTGTATGAATACAAAAATGACTTTTCATTTGAGTAATTTTTTGATACTAATGATTTTAAATTTAAATTTTAAGTATGCATTTTATCATGAATTTAACATCTACCCTAATATATCTCTGGCAAAATACCTACGTTAGTTTATTATTCGTGAGAACCATCTTTATAAAAATAATTAATTTTTATAGTAAAAATTTATAATTATTAATCACTTTTTCAATAAATTATTAATTAAACATGATTCTATAGGATTTTCAATATAGAAATACAATTAATTATCTATCGACAATCATAATCAAAATTTATTCAAGACAAATTTAAATTTCTTCTAAAAATCAATGATCAAATAAATAATTGTTTAATTTATTATCAACATTAATGTTTTTTAAAAAATAAAAAAATAATGAGAAATGACAAGTGTCATTTTTATACAGCATTTGAAAAGAAAACATAAATTATGAGAAAATTACAAACGATACTAATAACTATTCTTTTATTAGTAAAGGAAGATATTATTTAGTATGAGCCATTATCAAAATTTACTTCCATAATTTTAAATTCCTATCACCTTTGAAAGTATAAAAACGGTTAAACAAAAGAAATAACAATCTACTTTCATTAGAAAAGTGTATTATAGTATCTACTTTCATCTTATAGCATTCTATTTTGAAAAAAAACTACCAATCAATACTTCTATATCAATGTCAACCTAATACTAAGCACTTTTCATTAGGGGAAAACAAAATTTGCAAAAACCGTAAAAAAAAACCGAAAAATTGAAACCCAACATAAAACTGATGGTTTGGGTTCCAATTTTTCAAAAACCAAAATATCCAGTTTGGTTTCGATTTTAGGAATTAGAAAGCCGCAAAAAAAACCGAACCTCACAGTATAAATTGCTTAGAAATATATTTAATTTATAGATGTTATATACAAATATGTGTAGTTTTATAACAATTAGTAGCATGGCTAGTTGGTTAAGGTAATGAACATATGCATTTGAGGTCTAGGATTCGAATCTCTTTAGCTTATTTTACTTGATTTTTAGTTGTTTTAGTTTACTGATCCCACATGGATGGGGTAGTAAAAATCAGTCTTCCTCTCTCCTAATAAATATATTGGTCTATTTGCAAACTTCTAAACTACATTACATCTAATCCCACAATACCTTTAATCTATATACAAGTAAAGTATTGGCCTCCAGTGTAAATAAGAGACATCATATGATATCTTCCTACAAGGTATTTGTTTCCATCAGGTGACATGAAAAAATAAGCAAGGAACATTTGAAGTGATGGATTCTTGCTGTACTAAATGTGTATTAAATGGCTTCTTGTTTTAGCTAAATTTCTACTCTAAACAGTTATAAAACTAATAATGTCATGGGCTTTGTGTTGTCATTCATCCAATCAAATTTCTTTTTCCTTGTACTTGGTGAGTCTCTCATCACAGTTACCCATTTGATTATCCTCAAGCTTCCTACCACTACATGCATATTATAATTCAGACGAGTTTCAAATAATATCCAATGTCGTTCTATATATCTAAGAATTAATGTATTCATTTTGTTTCATTTGGGTTGTGTTTGTTACATAGGAAAGGAGTTAACAAGTTTTCTAGTGCTAGTTTCTATGAGAAGGGCATTCATGTCTTTTTTACATATAGGAGATCGAGCCCGTGTCCCTCTCCCAACTTGTTTCACTACAAAAAATGCAATAGGTGTCCTATTCGGTCCCCAGTCCATTGTTTACCAAGCCCCAAACACACCTTTTTCATATTTTTCAGTATATACGTAACATAATAGACGGGGTATTGATGTTAACCTTTATTTGTGAAGTAAAGGTTTAACATAATAATAATAATAATAAATATTGAAATTTTAATTTTTACAAGGCCAACATCTTGGAGCCTTAGGCCCCAAAAAATGACAGATGGTCTTGTACTGTGTTTGACATGTGTTGGATTGAATATGTCAATGGAACAACTGTTGTCAAATGCCATCAGTGTAAGAAACAAGGTCTAACAAATTCACACATGTTTCGGTTTTTTTGTAAAAGAAATATATTGAAATCGGTTTTTTTGTAAAAGAAATAAATTGAAATCAGTTGAAGTTTGATAGATTGCATGATAATTTATAGTAGCAAATTGTGATAAATATCGGTTGTGGAAAAATAGGTGGGGAAAGTGAGCATGGAGTGGTTAGCCGGGGAGAAAACCAAAGTGGCGGGAACATTCCCACCTCGTAGACGTGAATGGAGTGGTTATGTTGAGAAGGACACAGCTGGTCAAACAAATATATACTCAGTTGAGGTTAGTTATTCCAAGGTTTTTTTTTTACCACTTACAAAAACAATTCATGTAATGAAATGAAAATTCACAATTTGCTTTAATTTTATTTGTAGGTAACTTTTATTAACATAAATTTTAAAATTATAATTAAATTTCATGTACTGTACTTCATTTTTTTTCAATTCTAAAAAAATACTTCGTAAAACTTCGAATTCTATAAAAACCACTATAGTTTGGAATTTGTTTGGACTAACCACTCAGAAGGGAAAAAAAAATATCGTATTTAACCATTAAGAATATTTTTTTCTACAAAACCATCTTCAACCAGAAAAATCATCTTCCAATTGCTTTTTACAGTCAATTACCGGAGAAAAAATTGTGGTTTTTTTAAAAAAACAATCGGTGAATATTCTTTCAGTGGTTCAACTAAAAATAAAGTAGAGTGGTTTTTAATTTTTATGGAGTTCGACCAAATTATAATTCCAATTTCTACATGTTAATATATATTTTGTTATTACATTCCTAGTTGAGTTTAATGGGGGGTTTTTTATGCTTAATTTTTATTTTTGTCACGAAACTCCATTGTAACATATAATATAAAAAAAATGGTTCATATCCTACAATCTAAACCAAACATGAGAGCATGTGATAAAAATGAATAATAATTTGATAGTGATGGTGCAGCCTGCAGTTTACGTGGCAGAGAGTGCAATCAGCTCAGGGAGTTCGGGTACATCTGCAGATGGAGCCGAAAACACAGCAGCCCTAGTTGGTTTCTCAGGCATTATTGCTGTTGCTGCTGCATCTGTGATACTCCTTCAAGTTGGGAAGAACTCGCCTCCTCCAATAAAAACATTCGATTATGCGGGCCCCTCCCTTAGTTACTACATTACCAAATTTAAACCTTCAGAAATTGTCCCAACACAAGCTTCGGCTGAAACACCAGAGAGCTCAGTCGCAACGCAAACTTCAGATGCTGTCATGTCATCAACTTCAGCTGAAACACCTGAGAGCTCAGTCTCAGTCCCAGTCCCAGTCCCAGTCCCACAAATTGATTCGGAAGCTTCTATTGATTCTACCACGGATGCAGTCACATCAACTTCAACTGAAAACTCGGAAGAGACTGCTATTGCGACTCCACAAGCATTAGAGGTTGAGGTAGGATCAGGATAAATTATAGCGACCTATTATGGTTGTTCAATTTTTTTTCTTTCTTATATGTAAGTTAAATGAAGTTTCCATGTATGTGTTGTATACTTTCTGCTTTCTTCATCTTACCGATCCTAGCATTTTCTAGTATGATTTAGATTTACCTCACATTTCGGTAAGTAAGACTAGAAACCGTTGCACTAAAATTGATATACATAACCAACAATAATGACTCTACAAGATTTGGATTTTTTTTGGTTTTGGATTCGTACTTTTGTCTTTATTTTGATAGATCTAATTTCTAATAAGCACGATTTGGTAATAATATCATGTTATGTGAGGTCCTGGTTTCATCAAGGGTTAGGGGTGAGCATAGGCGGGTATCCGTCATATTTGACTGGAATTGGAACCACAACCGGAACCGACGGTTTCTAGAAAGTTGGAACCGGAACCGGTGATACCGGTTCCTAAAATATTGGAACCGGAATCGGAGCCGGCGGGTAGCGGTTCCAAAATCAGGTATCCAGTTCGTTAGTTTTTTAGACTTTTAATATCTTAGAAAACCTATATATTTTGCATACTTACAAAAAAAATAATTATCAATAAAATCAAACTAGTCATTCATTAAGCATCAAGAAGTAAGAATCGAACGATAAATGTAGCATAACTCTAAAAAACATGTGTGACCCATTTAGATAAAAAAAAAATTAATCACGCAGACGTACTAACATTTTTTGTGTGCAGACATCAATTTGATGTTAAATTTGAAAGTAATTAATTTACATCACAGTAACAATTATATAATAACAAATCAAACTACTCACTAAGTCTTTCATAACTGTGTAAGTCGTTTAAATTACCATATATATATATATATATATATATATATATATATATATATATATATATATATATATATATATATATATATATATATATATATATATATATATATATATATTTAGGGTTTAGGGTGTTTATAAAGGGTTTAGGGTTTAGGGTTTAGGGGTTAGGGTTTAGGGTTTAGGGTATAGGGTTTAGGGTTACCCTAAACCCTTTATAAACATCTAAAGTTAAAGGTTCTTACGGTTCTTAACATTTTTTTGTTCTCATTTGAACCACTCCATATATATATATATATATATATATTATATATATATATATATATATATATATATATATATATATATATATATATATATATATATATATATATGGCGACAATTACCCAACGGTTAACAGTTCCAAAAAACTAAGAATTGGAACTGGAATCGCATAAGGCAGTTCCAAAACTTTGGGAACCGGAACTGGCAGTTCCGGTTCCTAAAGCGGGTACCATGTTCCGATGCTCAACCCTATCAAAGGTCGTGTTAATTATACCTTCTATTATTATTAAATATCATTTATATAGATTTGACAAAATTACATAAATGGTCTGTGTGGTTTCTAAAACTTACATGGTTGATCCTAAACCACATGAAATGACTTATTATTCCATTTTAATTTCTTTTATATTTTTTCTTAACGAAATAGAAATTGACAAAATTGAAAAAGCAACCCATCCTAATCTCATGATCCATAAAATTTATGGAGGCTCACATGAAAAGATGACATTTGAGCATAAAAATTTTAGTTTCTCATCTCTCTTGACTAACTCCTTAGTCGATCTCTATTATTCTAAAGGTTAATCTTCTAACATCAACAATTTTGAAATGTTCGGCGTGAACCATTAAAGATAATTTAATTTGTGACAACCCGATATTTCAACTCTTTGTAATGGCTTAATAGGTCAAGTATTGTAAACATTTTTGAATTAATAAAATTAACTTTGATAATAAAATGTCCAAAAAGTTTCTATTTAAATTCTTCTATGCTTAAATATCATTAAACCATGATCGTACGTAAAAAGACGCCAAAATCCGACTTCGTATATTGAAGTTATGATTTTTCTAAGTTCGGCTTAGCAACAGACAACTAAAAACTCGAATCGGATATCGAGCGACTTTTGGCCGGAATGACCTAAACGAGAATTGAAGGTCTCGACAATAGTATTTCAGCGGTAAAAGGTCTGGCAAAAACCGACGTCAGATAAAGAAGTTATGAATTTTTAAAGAAATTCCTTAATCACGTCATTTTAATAAATAAATAATAAAAATAATTTCGGAATTTGCCAACGGAATCTAAATGAAAGTTGTAGATCGTAGTCTCACCTTCGCGGGGATATAAAGAACGTCGAAAACGGAGCTCGTATGAAGAAGATATGATTTTTTGAAGTTTATTTAATAAGTTATAATTAAATTTAAATAAAAAATGTTGGTAATATCCGAAGAGGAGTCAGCCTAGGGCCGAGGTACGCGCCGCGTACCCTCGTACACCCCGCGTACTCGAGGCCACGGCCTCGGATCGTCCACGTCTCCCCTATGCGAGCCTACCCCCCCGTCCCGTCAGAAACGCGTTGCAGCCGAGGATGCGGTCAGCAGTGACGTCCTGTACGCGCCGCGTACGTGGGACTTTCAGCACCCCTATAAAAGGGATGCGAGGGCTTCCGAAAATTTTGCTCATTTTCTCTCTTTCTCTCACGATCTTGCCTCGATTTCCGTGCCCGTTCAAACCCGAAGCTCTGGTCTTTTTGCTCAAGTCCCGAGAGTCGATTTTACTCCAGAGATTCCCGAGAAAAATCCGTTTCCCGAGACGAAACTCTGCTCGGTTTTCCATCTCGCTATCTTCAAACTTTCAAGTGAGTTCATACCCCCTTAAATCAACCTTTGAAATGATTTTAAATGTTTAAATACTTTATGGGGGGATACAAGTTAAATACTTATAGTTATTGCTTCGATCACATGTGATTAATAACTAGGAAACCAATGATTTTATCACTGTTCAAACTGTTTTACTTCAAAATGTTTTACAAACTCTTTTACTTATCAAATGCTTTTATTTAAACTTTGTTTTACTACTTATAAATTGCATGCCCATATATGTATAGATATATAAGTAATGTTTAAAGGGCTTAGGAAGGCCATCCGCCCTATTTCCTTTTCGCGCACTGAGATGTGGTCTGGTGGGATTTCGGGTGACCATCCGAGGGTCGTTTCAATATTAGTTATATATCATATATACATGTACAGACATAAAAGTACTTCCATATTCATACTTATCAATACATCAATAGCTAGTTACCATCGGGGTAACACAGAACATATACAACTATACTAGAAACAGAACATATACAACTATACTAGAACGAGAAACATTACATATACATGAACACGTTAACAAGTGTGATCCACTGTATCGGTGCATGCCTTAAATGTCATGGCCCGAGTTGTAGCCAGAATTCTCTTGGAGGGAGAGCGTTGAGTTTGTGTATAGATCTATATTGGATTGACTATCCTACACCTTGCTGCTAGCTACAGCCGGACCTGCAGGTCTGCGGGTGCCAAACGTCATTCCGTTATTACGACCGTTCTTTATGTCGTTGTTTTCAGTCGATAGTATGGTGCAATTATCACATTATACCTTAATATAAATCCGGTTTAAGGTAGTTAGTACAGCAGTAGTTCCTATAAAACAAAACTACAGTACTACAATGATTTACCCATTACATTTTAGTGATAACCTCACTTAAACTATAATGTACAAACTATATTTTGTTAAAAGATAGTTACACTGGGAAATTACACACTTTTACATCAAACGAGCATACGAAATAGTTAAGCCTTGGTAGAAGGCTACTTTAATAGAAAATATAGGTTTTTCTGAGAGATTCAAACTTTTACAAACATATACATACAATTTACAACTTATACTTACGACAGGTTCAAACGTTTTGATAACAAACATCGACACTAAAATACTTATGAATTCACCAGCTTAATGCTGATAAACTCTTTCAAAATAACTTGTATTCTCAGGTCATCAGTAGACAGGTACCGATGCCAGCTTTTGAGAAGATAGAGCGCATTCAAGACTCATCATATTATTTTGATTTACATTATATTTTTGGTGTCTAAAACTGTACAGAACACGCTTGTATTAAAATTATATATTTAATGCAATGGATGATGTTGTTTGCTTATTTACATTTACTGTGTTGTGATACTTTACATGACGTCCTCCGCCCCAGAACGTTTCCGTCATTATTGGTTTTGGGGTGTGACAGATTGGTATCAGAGCATTGTTTATAGTGAATCAAGTATATCAACCCATAAAAGATATACTAAACTATAAACCCATTTGGGATTAAAACACTCTGACCAAGAGTCTATACTTTAACTACTAAAATAGTTAATTTAGTATACTAGTCTGCATTCATACTAAAACCAGTGTCACAACGACAAGAGCAAAAGTATTACGATTGTTAAATATCACAGGTAAGCTAGGGGAAGTATGGTCAGTCCTGGGAATGGCATAGCCTGATCAACTATGCTGGTCCGGGGAGTGATTAGCATATGCCCTAGAATGGTTGTGATGTGTTAACAAGTCTAAAAACTTACCAACAATTCCACAAAAAGATCAGTAGAACTTAAACTTTAAATACTATAGGTGTATTTTGTACTACTAGTTACACGTATACTATATTCTTATACCTCTCTTCTCACGTAGATCTAAATGGCTGGAGTCCATCACGACGACCTGTACTTTACAAACGAAGGCAATGCCGGGTGGATCGATGAAGAGCCCGAAGTTGAGCATCCAATCCCTTTGGATGATCACCTCGCAGAAGGCTTTTCTAATGGATCCGACTCCGAGCCTGAAGTCAACAATCTACCGCTTGTAGGTCAAGCCCCGAACAATAACCCTCGGCCAGTTTTTCCAGGTCCTACTCCCTTGTGGGAAAACAACTTGAATCGTTGGAGTGATGAACAGGGTCAACCCTTACCATACTGTGGGGACTGAACCTTTTACAACGTCAGCGATGGTGGCTCTGCTGACCGAGCTCTGCCAGTCATTATCCGCAGAATAGCTCGTAATGTTGAGCAAGGTCTAGCAGCCATCGACCGGGTCATGGAGATTGATGCCAA